AAATGGGAGTTACTCAAGAGCAAACAGTATACATTACAATCAATTATGCCCTAAATAACAAAATCTCTAGTGCACAACAAGCCGTTACAGCTTCATAGGAATTCTGAATGTTGTACTTAATAAAGCAATTATAATCTGTCATCCCGTCCTCAAGGTAAGTGGTACTGCCCCACAGCTTACGTTATGGATTTCTTTGGCATAAATTAGACTTACTCAAGTATAACCAAGAATTTTAAAATGTCATATTCATTTTACTTCCTGGAATATGTAACATGCTCTTAAACTCGGGCATGTTTATGTTAATTTTTATAGAATATCGTTTAAGATTAATCTTCTATGGAGGAAATGCATTACAACTTTATATATAAAACCGTAAGTGCGTCTTCAGGAAATAGTGATTATAAAAATGACTAAGGTAAACTGTGAAAATGAATATGGGAAAACAGGACTGTTTTTAAAGATGCCCTGAGTTAAACACCGTTATTCCATTATGTAGTCATGGGGATGCTAGGGCTTTCGTTTCGTTTACTTTTCCTAGAGGCACAGATGAAATGGAGTTATAAACCAACGTGCTCTATTGAGTGAGTCGGAAGACACTGGTGATCAATTTTTTTGGAGATTAGGGATAACGTGGAATTAGAGAGAATTTCGACCGGGGAGGGGTGGGTAGGGGGAAGCAAGAATTTCAGTTCTAGGAAATGGAAGGTTGATAGGAAACCAATGAAAGTTCTTAGAAGGATGAAGTGGGGAGGTAGGAGAATGACTAGCAGTGTGCCATGACACGACACCCAGCAGGTGATGGAAGGGAGGCCTTGCTAAAGGAGGGGTTCTATCAACAAATAATTGGATAAATGCATGATTACTGGCACATGCTTGCACTGAAAGTCTATGTAGGTGTTAGGAAGGATGAGGTCAATCTACATGCACCGACACTGAAAAAATTAATACAAAAAAAGCTACTGGACAAAATAGCCTATGTAGTATCCTATCATTGGGATCCAAAAGGATGTACGTCATGCGTCATCTTCAGAATGATACACAAGAAGGTGACAATCCTGGGTGCCTCCGGGGATGGGTCCTGAGAGCTGAAGATCAGATGGAAAGAGAGCTTGAATTTTCACTGTATACCTTCTTGGGGTACCATTTACACTTTTACCATGTACATGAACTTCTTGAAACGAACCGGTAAAAAAGGGAAGAGATTTGTGAACAGTGCCAAATTCTACAGCAATGTCAAAGAGGCTGCAGACTGAAATAAATCATCACACTTGATTAAGGGGTCTTCGTAACTTAGAGAAAGTAGGTCCAGTTCAGTCATTTCATCTTGAGAGAGGAAACTGTATTGTACATGGTTGGAGAATGTAATTCAGGAAGACAAAGACTTTGTCCTGAAAGTGTTGATGTCTCAGGGAATAAGCTTGTGAAATGATCAGTGTGTGTATGTGCAAAATACACATACCTACACACGCATGTACACCTTTCTCTAGTTATGGGAAGGGCAGTGAGAGATTTTACTGCTAACTGGCAGCTGGTAAGTATGATGTGACACAAAGACCAACGTTTGAGGAATTTGAGAGTTCTGGTAAGAGTGCTAGGAGGTGAGCATAGGGTGGAAGAAACCTGGTGAAGGCTGGGGGTGAGCTAAGTATGGGTAAAACCATAATGGAAAGAGCCTGGAGGAAGTTTTGACACCAGGAGAGATAAATGAATAACAGGAATAATATCCTTCTATTTTTTTTTAAATGTTTTATTTATTTCTAGGAGAGAGAGAGAGACAGCGTGAGCAGGGGAGGGTCAGAGAGAGAGGGAGTCACAGACTGAAACAGGTTCCAGGCTCCGAGCTGGCCGTCAGCACAGAGCCCGACGTGGGGCCCGAACCCACGAACCGCGAGATCATGACCTAAGCGAAAGTCGGACGCTTAACCGACTAAGCCACCCAGGCGCCCCCCTTCTATTTGTTTTTTAAAAAATCTTTTTTTTTTTTAATTTTTGAGAGAAAGAATGAGTGGGGGAAGGGTGGGCAGGGGGATCAGAAGATCCAAAGCAGGCTCTGTGATGACAGCAGACAGCCAAATGTGGGGTTCGAACCCACAAACCATGAGATCATGACCTGACCCAAAGTTGGACGCTCAACTGACTGAGCCACCCAGGAATAATATTCTTTTAGAGGCACAGAAATCAAGGTAGTAACTCTTTACCTACCATCCAATAGATGGATAGAAAATCTTATTAAAAGATTTTAGTTACAGAGGACATAATTCTCCTTTATTTTAGTCAGCAAAGACAAAGCAGTTTAAACCCATTTCATAAGCTCAGGTCTGGTCAAAAGACAAGTGGTAAGCCAACTTGGCAGAATGCCAACCTTCTGTGTTTTGCAAATTTTTTTTAAGTAGGCTCTACAGCCAATGTGAGGCTGGAAACCCACTACCCCAAGATCACAAGTCACATGCTCTGCTGACAGAGCCAGCCAGGCGCACAGAGGGCTAACTTAAAAAAAAAATTTTTTTAAGTTTATGTATTTATTTAAAGAGAGACAAAGACAGTGTGAGTGGGAGAGGAGCAGAGAGAGAGATAGAGGGAGAATCCCAAGCAGGCTTTGCCTTGTCAGCACAGAGCCTGACAAGGGGCTCGAACTCACACAACGGTGAGATCATGACCTGAGCTGAAACCAAGAGTCAGATGCTTAACTGATAGAGCCACCCAGGTGACCTAGGGCTAACTTTTTGTTGACAGCAAATATTCCCTGCAAAGAATGATTTCCATAAAGTGAATAACTTTAAGAGACAAAAACCAAGAGTGAGTATGATACAAATTTTGCATATTCTATTTGAAACAAACAATAAATGTGAGTTAACCCAACCCAGAGCAGACAGAATCGCCCCATGATGGCTATTGCATGGTACTGCCAGGGGAGCTCTTCGGGAACCCATCAGAAAGTGCTTCTGGAGGTAGGTATGACCCACTCTAGAATATTCTGAGTATATCTGGTTGGGGTTGAACCTACAATCAAATGAAATAAAACAATATTGGGCCCTCAAGTTACGACAACCTCTTGCTCACAACTAAGTTCTTGATGGTCCCATTCAACAGGAAATCATAGTAGGGCTCACATGTGGGCACCTGCCTTTTCAACCGGATCAAGTAATGCCCCATGAAATAATGCTGAAAATTCCCAAAGACTCTAACATATATAAAAATGCCAGTGCACTTTTAAAGATATAACTTTTTAAGGCAGTCACAGATCAAAGGTCAACAAATGAACCCATGAAGTGGACGTAGTCACATATTCAAGGTTCGGAACTGAGCTTTGATCAGTTAGTTAGGTAGAAAAAGACAATAGAAGTAGGTATTATTTGGGCAGCATTATTCTTGGTGGGTTCACTCAAAGCAGTCAGAGTAAACCAGATCAATTATTTTCAGAACCCTCAACATTTTTCTGCTTTTGGGCAAGAACAACTGACTCACTGGCAGATAGACTTGTCTATCCTCCAGGGAAAACACAGATTACAATACATTTGGGTTGTAAAATCAAATAAAAGTAAATAGAACTTAAAAATACTGCTTTTTATTTATTTTTGTTTTTTAAAAATATTTATTTTTGACAGAGAGACGGAGAGACAGAGGGAGAGAGAGAGCTGGGGAGGGGCAGAGAGAGAAGGAGACAGAAGACGTGAAGCAGGGTCTGTGCTGACAGGGGAGAGAGAGCCTGACATGTTACTTAAGTCACGAACCGTGAGATCATGACCTGAGCCCAAGTTGAATGTTTAACTGACTGGGCTACCCAAGTGCCCCCAAAAGACTGGTTTTTAAAATGAAAAAGTAGGGGCGCCTGGTTGGCTCAGTTAGTTAAGCGTCCGACTTTGGCTCAGGTCATGATCTCACAGTTTGTGGGTTCAAGCCCCGCATCGGGCTCTGTGCTGACAGCTCAGAGCTTGGAGCCTGCTTCAGATTCTGTGTGTCTCCCTCTCTCTGACCCTCCCCTGCTCATGCTGTCTCTATCTCTCTCTCAAAAATAAAGAAAACATTAAAAAATTTTTTTAAAAATGAAAAAGTAATACATATACATAGTAGAAATCTTAGGGTATGGAGTGAAAAGTAAGACTTATTCTCAAAAGGCAATGGTTTCTTTCCAGTTTCTTGCATATCCCTATAGAAGTAGTCTCTGCGTAAAAATATATACATATTTGTTATATTATATATATATTTATATATTATTAGATGTTCCTGCTAAACAATGTATCTTGGAGACCTTTTCCTATGATTAGATATAAAGCCACATGATTCTAACAGCTGTGTAGTACTGTATACAGATTTACATTCATTTAGCATAATGTCCTATTTTTGAGTATTTTTTCCAGTTTACTTTCTTAATGCTACAACTTTTCTGTGCACAGCTGTAAACATGGACATGAGTGAATTTATGCAAATAAAATTGGTGGGGCAGAGGGTATGAATACTTCAAATTTTAGAAAAAAAATTCAACAGATACTGGGAAACTGTCCTCTACAAATGTGCATAATCTCCCCACTAATGCAGGAGAATGCGTCTGTCCACAGCCTTGCCCGCTGGGTATATTATCACATTTTTTACTTTGGTTATTTTGTGAGGGAAAAGGGTTTTCATAAGCATTTTTCAAAATTCTGAGTACAAATCTGAGAGTACTTCTTAAAAATTATAGCTCAGGGACGAAACAGAGAATTTTCTAAATCCTCTTGGACTCTGGCTCTCTTTTGGTGAAGGGGTCCCAGAGAATTTACTGGTATAGGAGCACATTTATGTGGATAGGGTTCTTCTATAAAGTGTGGCAATCAACTATTTTAACAAGAGACAGTTTCATAGATAGGTTTCATTTTTTGAAAAAGGGGAAGAAACACCATTCTGTGGCTCGATGTGGGTTTGTCAGTTACTGCCTACCCTCTTCCTGGGACTTCCCACTGGTCATGAGCACAAATCAGACTTGAGCAAAAACAACTCTTTCCATGGGATCAGCTATAAGAAGAATGGCCGTACAAAGAGCAGCTTAGTTTCTTGGTCTTACTGGTGAAAGGGTGGCAGACATTTGTGACAAAAGCACTGGCTGGCTTATTTGGCTCTATATGGTCATTTGCTGTTTCTTCCGGACCAAAGGAGCAGATTGGTTAGCGAAGGTAAGAAAAAGGAGGCAGCAGGCCCTCTAATTGCTAATCCTTCTATCATCTCTCTTCTCACTTTTAGAGTCCTTTACCATCAGAAGCCAGACGCAACTGCGACATCTCAGATGCTTTTCTAGTTGACCAAATCAGAGGCAAGTGGGAGCCTCGACAAGCATTTGAGGGAGCCGGACAGTCAGGAGAAATGAAGTGAAATGCTCCCTTCCCTTAGCTCCTTGTGTCCACATTTTGGGCATTTCTAAAATATTTTTTTTTAACCTAAAAATTTGGACAAGTCAGATCAAGTATTTGTTGTGTGATTTATACAGTTATTGTTCAGGGATTGCTGCAGAGAATCAGCTTCCACGTTTTAAAAAGCAGGCCTCCAAACCTGACCAGAATTTTGCAGGGACAGCATGTCTCTAGAATTTAGTTACAGTGATAGAGTTTTAGAGAGGAATAGGAGGACAGTAAGCGGCGGGTGGCTTTGACTCTCAATTATTCATTCCGAGAGCTTGAGCTAAGTGTTTTCCTGTGTGACAGGGCCCATTCAAAGCCAATGTGATCTCCAGGGCTGCTGTTTTTCGAGTTGCCATCTGGCTGATTTGGGGAAAGTCTACCTGTTGGTATTGGTATTGGAGGCTGCGATCACAGGTGGGCTTTCGTGTGAACTATTGTTAGATCTGTTCCAACATACGGTTTCTTGTGCGCATCCATCTGCACTTCGGTATAGACCTGACTTGGCCAGAATGTTCATACTGATAGTTTTGGAACATTTCTTGCATAGGTCAGTGTAAGAACAGTGTGTTTCTGACCTTGGAAAGCTTCTCCGAGGAGGAGTGGAGAGTATTTAAAATTTGCGTACAAAACATTCACATTACGGTAATCTAGGGGACCTAAAAAGGCAAGTGCACTCATTCTGTTATCTCATATCAAAGTGGTGTTTCTAAGCTACATCGAGTCACTGAACTGTTTCTAATCACATACCTAAAGATTAGCTTAGATATGTGAGATAACGTGCATGGAACTAGAGAGTATTATGCAGAAATAAGTCACTGAGAGAAAGACCCATAACTATGATTTCACTCACATGTGGAATTTAAGAAACAAAACAGATGAGCATAGGGGAAGGGAAGGAAAAATAAGATAAAAAGAGAGAGGGAGGAGAACCATAACAGACTCTTAAATACGGAGAACAAACTGTGGGTTGACAGAGTGGAGGTGTGTGGGGGGTATGGGCTAAATAAGTTCTTTACAAACATGATACGACGGAAATTTGCCTTCATTAACTGTATATAGAGTTACTTTCCTCCCAGCTTTTGTTTTGCCAAGTTTCAAAACCTATCTTAAAATGCAAAGAATAGTACAATGAACACCCATATTTCCGTCATGTAGATTAATCAGTTGTAGCATGTTGCTGTATTTACTTTCTCACCCTCTTGCTCTCTTCATCCATATACACATGTGCACACTAACATATACACAGTCCCTTTGGTGACTTTAGGACACATGTCATCTCCAAATCCTTGAGCATTTATCTCCTAAGAAAAAGGGCCGTCTTCCACATAATTACACTCCTAAGGAAATTTAACACCAATACAATACTATTCTTCCATACAGGATTCATACTGAAATTTAAATTTCTCCAATTATTTCTCCACTTTACTTCCTGATTTTATTTTCTAAATTTACAATCCACTTAAGTACATGGCATGGCATTTTGTTGCTAGGACTACTACTAAGTAAGTGATAATGGTAATAGATATAAAACAATATAATTAATAATGATTAAAAATTTTAATACCAAATTTAACATCAGTCAAGATTATTAACATCCCTTTTCTTATTTTTGTAGTCCTCTCATTTTGTGTCAAATTAAAAAAATGATCATGAGCTTTAATATTTTTCATTTGGGAGATATGAAGACTGAACATGAAGAAAATCCAAACTACTACAAAAGTATATTTACAAATTTTCTTCATCAAAATTTACAGTTTCTGTAAATAAGAAAATCCACATACCCAGATAAAGCCCTTGGAAGTAGCTGTTACCTTTGGTCAAAAGGACAGAAGTAGAAATGAACAAAACATTATTTACTTGGTGATGTTAATGTTGAAAACAGAGGCCTTCTGACTTATATAATCTTAGCCATCAAATTAGACTTTCAGAAATTAAGAATCACTTCAGATTTGAAAGACTAGATGATCCCAAATTATTTATTTTGTAACAAGAGTTGACATATGGATCAGAGATACTTTAGAGCATTTGTCAACATATGCCACCAAAGATGAAGTAAGAGGAATATAAACCAAGGTATATGACAAAGTAAATGCTTATTTCTAGCTCTAAAATACATAAACTTTCAAAGGTAATAGTAACGGAAACTGTGGGAGATTTTTAATGTGGGGATAGCCCTCCTAAAGCACTTTGTTTTGGGTGAAAAATTCTTGCATCATTCACTGAAAAACCAAACGCACAATAGATTTACTGATCCTAATAAACAAACATTTGATATAGATTTGGCTACATGATACTAACTAGATTATGAACAAAATAGCATCCAGGGTTTTCAGTGATAATCTTTTGGTAGTTTATTCATAAGACCCAGAGATCAAGATCTTAAAACAAAACAAAACAAAACAAAACAAAACAAAACAAAAAGATTGGAATTGTGGGATCTAGGATTTAGATTGTAGGAAGAACAGGCAAAGAGATGAAATGGAGTACTTGGAGGATTTGGGGCTACTAAAAACATAACATCTCTGACAGGTCACCTGCACATAATCTAGTAAGCCAGTGCTTCATCCTGGAATTTTAGGCAAAAATAAATTTGCTTATCTGATTGGCAAATTAATAGTAATACTGTACTGAAGGATGTCGGCGTAACAATTAATCTCAAACACTGCTGATGAGAGAATAAGCTGGCCCAAGCTACTTGAAAGGCAATGTGCAAGAGCTGTGCGGTAGTAATTCAACTTCTTCAAATCTGGCCTAAGGAAAAAAAAATTCGTGGAGGCATATGCAGTGATTACATACAGTAAAAAAGCAATAAAAACCTCAACGTCCCGTTTGAGAAATAATTTGCTAATGTAAGATGTGCCTGTAGATGTGCTATTTTGTAACTGCTGCCTCTGCATGGCTCTGGAGATAGTTTTTTTTTTTTTTTAAGTTTATTTATTTTGGAGAAAGAGAATCCCAAGCACGCTGTAGGCTGCCAGCGTGGAGCCCGATGTGGGGCTCTATCTCATGAACCGTGAGATTGTGACCTGAGCCAAAATCAAGAGTTGGACGCTTAACTGGCTGAGCTGCCCAGGCGCCCCTGTCTCGACCCAGAGTCCCTCAGACGTCTTAGTTCATGTGTGAGCAAACTGTCCTTTCAGGGACCATTCTGTTTTACCAGCCTATCACCCCGGTCCCCCACCTCCCACCAATCCCCGAACTTCTTGCTTTCCTTTTGCTATTGCCAATTACTCCTTCTCTTAAAGGACTACCCCAATGACTTAGCTCCCTGATTTATTTAAGGTAGCAGGTGATTTTGCTCAAGTTCCATGCAACCCCGATAAACATCTTGAGGGCAGGGACAGAAATAACCTAGAATCTCTAATTCCGGGGTAGGGATGCTGGCCTGTTGATATAGGAGATCCGAAGGGTATGGGCGGTGAAACAGGGCCTGGATGGGGAACCATGGCTCTCAGGACAGAGATCAAAATACACATACACAAAAAGAAATAAGAATGCTCAAGTGCCTGGGGTGGGTGTAATGGTGTGGAGAGCCGGGAACAGCTCGGCCTGGCTGGGGCCTTGGGGCCTGCGGCCAACAGGCAGAGAGTAGGCTGGGAAGACAGATACGAAGCATGAAGCTCGAGGGCCCACCATACGTGGACTTTCTCCTGGAGATCACGGGGTAATGTCGCTCTTTAGATGGCGCAGCTCTTTGTTGTGATGAATCACTAAATTATACACCTGAAACGAGTATTACACTCACTATATGCTAACTAAAACTTAAACAGTAACTTGAACCATGGAAAGAAAATAGTGTATCTGTAATATTAAATTACTCTGTGGTTGTAAAATTAAGGGGGAGGTGATGCCAGGCTGTAGCAGTGGGAGCGGTTAGGGAAAACGTTCACACAGCTAGATGAAAAGACCAGAGAGGATACATTATTTGTGTATCTCTGAGGCACACTCGTAGTACCGCACCGTCAGAACACGTGTATAGTCCTCTGGCCCACTCTCGGGCACATGTTGGCTGCCTTCGTGGCGCTTTCTCTACTTCACTGTACTGCCCTTCCTTTGTTCCCACGTGGTGTTGTTAGTCTATACTCTTCTCTTTTTAAAAGTTTATTTATTTATTTTGAGAGCATGCATGCAGATGCATGTGTGAGCAGGGGAGGGGCAGAGGGAGAGGGAGAGGGACAGAGTGCCAAGCAGGCTCTGCACTGTTAGTGCAGAAATCAGCGTGGGGCTAGAACTTACAAACTGTGAGATCATGACCTGAGCGGAGATCAAGAGTCAGATGCTCAACCTACTGAGCCACACACATGCCCCCAAGGGCGGTTGTTTAGAGTCAGGGTCCGGGTTGTTGGAGTCAGGGTGGATACCCTTCTCCTGCTTGACGTTAACTGCTCTCAGCAAGGCAGTAGTGTGATCTATTTTATGAACAGACCATGCCCTTTGAGTTCATAAATTAGGACTTGAATCTTACCTCCAGCACTTAGTTGCTTTGTGACCTTGGGAAGGTCATTTGTCAAATCTCAAACTCGGTTTTCTCATTAGGGAAATCCGAATGGTGATAATAGCTAACAGGCAGTGTTACTGAAAAATTGGGCTTAGGGGCACCTGGGTGGCTCAGGTGGTTAAGCGTCCAACTCTTGATTTGGCCCAAGTCATGATGTCATGGTTTGTGGGATCTAGCCCCATGTGGGCTTCTGCGCTGACAGCACAGAGCCTGTTTGGGATTCTCTTTTCTCTCTCTGCCCCTTCCATGCATATGCACTCTCTCAAAAATAAATAAACTA